TACATGTACACACACACCTGTCTTCACGCTCACACACATCTGCACTGCAAGTCACCATGATCTCAGTAAGGGGGCCCAGCTTTAGTTGTTGGTGGTCCATAGCTCGTGTTTTAATGGTTTTAAATTGATGTATTGATGTATGTGTTGAGTAGAATATTTTAGCAATTGAACTGGTTTGCTTTGTCTAACTGTGAACCAGACAATCCAGTGATTGTTACCATGCAGTGATTGTCACCATGCTGTTTTACTGTCATTTGATGGCAGACATTTAGTCGTAATAACTTGTTCTCATCGCGATGTGGCTGCAATATAAACGATGCGATGTAAAAGTTTAACTCACTCACTTACTCACACACATCTTCTGTCCGGCATCGGACACGCACACCTACTCTCTATGTGGACATACATCCGTTGAATACACGGACACAGAATCTCCTATCTATGCATCCCCTATTGACACGCCCAACTACTTCACCCGTCCACAATTTTCGATCTCAACCCACGCATTGATTCATGCGATTCGCTGCCACGATTCCTTGAATCGCCTGACTCAATTCCTTGTTCTGTGTCACAAGGTTGGCTTCTTAGAAATCTATGATCGCTCCCCACACTCGCCCAATAGCCGCCTTGGCAGCATGACACTCATACCCGTGCCCGCGGATGTTTCAACAAGCGGTAATGGTGGAAATGCCCACACACTGGTACGGAAGTGTTGACCTTCAAAAATGTAAATGCAAACCTGACGAAGTGGTGACTTTTTTGTAGACTCCGTTCCTAATATACTTCGTTGATTGTAGCAATTACGATCAGTTGTATCTGCTATATATGTTTCATGTTAGAGCCACAACAGTTCTTCACTGTGAATACGTGGCTGACGATGTTTGGACGAGTCGTGTTCCTCTGTCTTTGCCAGCAATATGTTTTTCATTTGGTGAGTACTTTGTTGAGAATTTCAGATTCTTGTGTTCATTGTCTTCTATGTATGAAGACCACAATCTGCTGTCAATAGACTTTACATACTCCTTTCAGACAGTTATGTTAATATCAATGACGGCTTCGCTTGAAGCTTTGAAAGGTACCTCTTAACATAATGCCAAAGTAAAGTTGCGAGGCGTAATAACCTAAAACCTCGTTATTAAAATCAGGTTTCAACTGAAATGATATATTTCTATTTCTAGCTCTGTTTTCCAATGACGGACATGAGACACAGCGCCGGCAGAATAGTGAGGAGAACATGGTAAACGTGTCAAGTGTTGCAGTAGGTGTTGAAAATGTTTGCTATGAGCAGCTGCGTCCCTGTCTGGATAACCTCCGCCCTCTACATGCCATTAATGGTATTCAAGGCCTCGTTGTTGATGGGAGGCTCGCTGTACCGTGCGAGTAAGTAAGCTCTCAGTTGTGTGACTTATCTTTGTATTAAAACACGAGTGTTGGGGAATCAACTCGGTTGGCAAGGGGTTGACAATACCAACCCACTCACAATACAACACCTGAGTAAATAAACGAGGAGTTTATTACACAGCAGTCACATAATGGTATTTTACATAATCAGTCAATAATAGAATGAGTTACGATTAATTATTACAGCATGTTCACAATGCAATCAGCTTTCAAAGTACATAAACATCACGTCATGTAGATTCGTTACAACGAAATCACAACGAAATCACAACGAAATGAAATGGTACATTATTCTCCACACATATTATCTCAGTGGGCGTTCATACAGTCACAAAACAGCATAGTGCAAACAACGTAATGTAATAGTTAAGATGCCCGAAAGACTATATATATTCTATAATAGTCACAAAACAGCGTAGTGTTAATAAGTATTAGATAAACAATCCTAAACAGTAATACAGAATATATGAGAAATATATTAAAGGATGCCTCCTTCCACATCAACCTGAAGGTAGTGTCAAGGGTCGTAACATATAGTTATGGAACGATAGATTAAACTTAAGACAAAATAGCATAACGATTTTAACAAAGTAGAAGAAAGTAAAGCTTTTTACCTGAGTGAATTTATACGACAGCCACCGAATGATTTGGGACTGTCATCCGTATTATATACCAATTATAGCTATTGCAAATAATCGCGTTTACAGATAAAACTTACTATAACGTTGTTATTGTGAACTTGAAATCCCGTCATTTAGTTGGACCAAATCATCGATGGCCAGTCGTGAGTATGCCACGAAGGTATATGTGGCACGCACGTGATTTGACTAATGTGGAATTCAAACAGCTATAAAGACCGATAAACGTACTGCACCTTGGTTCTATTAGCTTAAGTGATACTGGTACCGGATTATGTCCGATGCTCGTTATCAGTGTGACCCTTTGCGGATTTAAGATAGTGGAACGTGGTCAGGTAGTATAAAATATTTCCATTTTCAATAACATATAATGTCATACAATATTGGTAAACTTTTGCCTAGTTTTTCCGTGTTAATAGCTGTATACGATTATCTTCGCGTATGTGTAAAGATAAATCTATCAAGAACAATATTTTCAATACCTCTAGTGGTGTGAGACAAAGATGTATGTTGACACCCTTCCTATTTATTCTATTCATCAGTGAACTTGTAACGAAACTAGAAAGCAGTAACGTCCGTGGCATTTTTGTAAATGATGTTATTGAATTAATATTTTGCTAGTTGCCGACGACACAAGCTAGAAAAGCACGTTTCCTATCTTTAAACTTTCCATAAAAATTCCTGATAAGTCTTTTAAAACAGTTGCCACGATTTGGGTGGTTTAGGGTTGCACATATCCATTGACTAAGTTCAGAGCCCTTTCTTCTAAATATATCTTGGCTTATGTAAACATTCCGCATCAAGTTCTGTTTCTTACTGTGTGCAAAATATTTTCACAATGAATCCGTTATTGGTGCAGGAGTATCCGTGTTGACCCTGTGCAGATCTGTTCAAACAAACATGTGAACTTAGAAATTCAAAAACGGTTCAAGGAAATAAGCAGTTCATGCTGTGTATCCCATTACAGTTCATACAAATCCCTGTTAATGCCGGAATATTATCTACTATGAATGCACTTTGAAAACGATTTAAACAGAAGCTTGCAAAAATTCTGCATTCTGTCGCATAATTTGAATCTGCAGGAAGAGAAGGAAAGATAGAAAGATTCCATGTGTACACATGTGTGACACGTATGACCACTTTTATCTTAGTATGTCCGAAATACAGCTTCAGTAGAGTTAAATCTATACTCTTGAAAAAGAAACTTGACATAGGACAAATTTGAATTTTAGGAAAATATTTGACACAAACCAATCCATGCGGAATCCCAGCATGTGGGGGAATGGTTGCCGACGACAAAACGTTTGCAAATAGAAACGTTTAACAAAAAATTAACGTTACACTCACGTCTGTAGTGAATCGCTAAAACGCACCTTACATGAAATGCACGAGCAGCATAAAATTGTGTATCACCCTGAGCTGAAGCCTATGACTGTAGGCTTTGAAAAGCCACATCAATGACACCCAACATTTATTGCTTCAAGCCACTATAGACGGCAAGAGAATGAAAAGACTGACAGAAGCTCATGATGTAGCTATGCACTTCAACGTGTCCAGACAGACCATCTTGAGATGGACCTGATACAAAAATACTGGGGGTGTTATTATGGACCCGATACAAAAATACTGGGGATGTTAATGACAGACCCAGGTCAGGTCTACTTGGAGTTACCACCGCCGCCCAGAATCGCTACATCCAGTTGAGACATTTTCGTTCAAACACCACGGCCGCATCATCCACAACAATCCAAATCCCTGGACTGCGCCGAATCTCCGACCAGACAGTGCGCAACTGGCTATGGAAAATCAGACTTTTTGCCAGAAGACCAGTTCAACGTCACGTCGTTCCGTACATCAACGTCAACGGTTGATCTTTGGAGCATGACAATGCTCGACATCACGTTGCACGTGTTTGACAGGTCTTCTTCCAGTAATGTTCAGGTGTTACCTTGGCCTTCTCGATCACCGGATTTGTCCCCCATTGAACATATATGGGATTGTCTTGATCGACGCTTGCGCCAGCGTAATCCGCCACTTCAGACACTACAAGAACTGCACACAGCACTTCAGCAAGAGCATTCAAGACAGCATTCAGCATCTCCTTTCTTCTATGGGTCACCGCTGCCAAGCTGTTATCGATGCTCATGGTGGTCACACCAGATGCTGACATTTTATTCTGACCATGTGGCTTTGATAGCCCTCTGTGGTTTTACCAAACACTTTCTGGATAATCATGTTTTGGAAATTTGTAAAGTGATGATTTTACTGTAACTGAACAATGATGTCAAGCTTGAATCAGTTACATGCACTCAGTAAGTAAACTCCAAAACAGCATGAAAAGTTTCTTTATTTGAAAAGTATATTAAGAAATATTACTTTTGACAGTCGTGATAAAATGAAACGACTCATGTCCTCGACAGATATTCCTCCGTCTTGCTTTTTTGTATATCAAACGAAACAGCCCAAAGTGAAATAGAATGGAAGTGTATTTGGTGAAGTAAATCAGGAAAATGCAAAATTGTTTTGGATTTATATTTGAAAATCCCGTCTATGCATTCTCCACACATAAGAATTGTGTATGTAAACCTAATTGTAATGTAGCCTCCAATATATAAAAAAGAAATGTAGTCTTATAGTTATGGCGATATCAAGTACTTGATTTTATACTGCGTTAAAAAAACTCACTCACTCACTCACTCACTCACTCACTCACTCACTCACTCACTCACTCACTCACTCACTCACTCACTCACTCACTCACTCACTCACTCACTCACTCACTCACTCACTCACTCACTCACTCACTCACTCACTCACTCACTCACTCACTCACTCACTCACTCACTCACTCACTCACTCACTCACTCACTCACTCACTCACTCACTCACTCACTCACTCACTCACTCACTCACTCACTCACTCACTCACTCACTCACTCACTCACTGTTTGTGTAAGAGCAAACATCCGGGACGAGAACTGAAACTGCATTGCCTCTGCCAGTCAGTGTAGGGACCACATCTCATACAGAAGCCTACGACGCTCCCAGGTGTTGTGGGATTTCGTTTGCCATAACAGCCCAGGTATGACGCAATTTGAGGAACAACTTATAATGGTACTAATCTCTCTTTAACAAAAGAAAACTCATGTCTAATACTGTGATTATGCGCCTATTGCTCCATAGATTGCAGTTACCTAGGTGTCATGGAATATTGAGTGCAGAGGTTTTTTAATCATGTGAAATTGTGCCCGCAATGGTTATGTAAACTCGCCCTTCTTTCAAATAAAGGGAAACGACACAACACTGGTTATATGTATTATTAGGAGACTGACTGGTGAGAAAAATAACATTGTCAACGCCTCTTTAATTCTCATAAAAGTAATTTATGTGCTAAATCATAGGTACGTTTATTTTCAGTTTGATGATGTGGGGATCTCATCAGATGATATTCAAAACAGATATTATCATTGTGTTGTTATCACATTTATTATACTGATTATATTGAAGGGATATGTGAATATGATAAACTCTCGCGAACAATCCGTCGATAATTTGTCCATTCATTTCACTTTCAGCATTTGTAGCAGGGCAGGATTGCTGGAGAAGCTCGGAGCTTGAGCCAGCGGTCAATAAGTGCATTTTTTCTTCGAATAATGTGTGGTAAATAAGTTACATTATCTCCTACTATTTACCTGTATGTATTGATATACAGAATGATATTGGTATCGTAATTCCATTACGTCCTCACACTGTTTATTGGTTTTCATGACTGAACAGCTCGTCCATACGCACCTAATACATTTTGGTTGTACGCAAAATGCGGGGTCGTTTGGAGGTTTAGGATGGTGGAAAACGATAAAATGAATTGGAATTAGACATAATTAACACGACACAATTAATCATTTCGTTACCGGCAACCTGACTTTTGGAACGCACGTTTTTAGCGATTTGAAATCGCCTGAGTATGTTTGTATTTCATGATTATCAGATATATACTATTTGAATCCTTTTACCAAACCAGAAAAATCAGTCAGTGTTTAAAATTACCACCCCAGAGATTTTCCTTTATCATTTTCATGTACGTTCATGACAGATCATGGCAGTTCCTCAGAACTGATTCAAATAAACTCATGCAAATTAAATCCCTAAAACCCTGGGTGACAAAATTAATGTTGACGGACCATACGAGAATCATACAAGAGGTTTGAGCAATTTTTTGACAGGTGACCTAACTAATTTGATGAGTGTGATTAATGAGTTTTTAATCCCTCTTACGTGACACCATACTGGGGTTGCTAAGGATACCTATGAATAACATTTTGATTTGGGGAGAATTTAGACAGCTGACCTATTTAAAAAGATGCGTTTGATGAATGACTTATATAATCCCAAACACGTCCTAAATAGATAAGCCCCTCACGTGATCTGTACTCTGATTGCTAAGAACGTTATCAGTGGATAATCCAACCGTCTCGTTATCCTGTCCCTCCGGTACATCATTGATGATTTATCAGCAAGAAGTTTAACCTAAAATGACATGAAAATACAGAGACGACCACCCAGCCTATGTAGGTTGAAATGTTTGAGTAACTATTTAAACATCCATATCTCTGAGTACTGTATATGTGTATGCCCCTGTTTGTTGTTGGACTGGCCGTGGTCTGATAAGGTCCTGACATTGCTTAAAAATCAAATGTGTCTAGTGATCTGTCTGTTGTAACGTCTGATCAGCCAATCAGTTTACCTGATATCAAATCAATGAAATGAAATTACGGTAGAATTCATGAAGAAATCACACTTTATGTGTTATAAAACTCTGTCACAGCTGTCTCGACCATGTCCAGCTTTGAAAGTGTTATGTCAGAGAGAGATAAATCCAGGTAGGGGTCACTGTCTGTAGCCAGCTATGTTGACTTCATAATACAGTTGATGGGAAGTATGCTGATAATACCTCGAGGGGCTCCTTAGATCGTTAAGTCATCAAAATGTATTGTGTTGTGTATTGAATACCTTGAAACTAACATTATTATGGAGTTGGCGTGTGCTTTAAACCAACTAAGTCCCAAATGTACAATGATTCTAATTATGTTCTAATTACATTAATGATATATACAATAAAATTTATAATATGTACACTGATTCAAAACGTGATTCAACCTGATCTTGACACTTTACCTCATGGTATTGGTTTAAACATATGTTTCTGGGTAATACAGTCACAGGCAGCCACATTGGAAGCCATTTAAAGGTGTTAGGGAGCCACAGGCAGCCACACTCAGAGCCAAGAGCCACACAGGGCCATACTCAGGGCCATTTATATTTAGTCAGGGCCACAATAGGGACATAGGGAGCCATAGGGAGTCATTTGACATCCACTTGGCGGCCAAAGGGAGCCATTCGCTGAGGTTTTGAAATAATTCAATGGTTTATGCAGAGTGAGATCATTACCCGAGCTTTTTCCACAGGCAGTATAATATGATTAAATACTGGTGTAAGCTTCTTGTGCCACTGATCATAGTACTTTATGGGCTTGTTAAGAGTATTTTGTATGAGGAGGTGCAGACCCGTGGTGTAAATAATTGGGCTTATCGGGTTAATTGTATTTTGTCATGCATTGGATTCAGTGAAATAGGGTTAAGATTGGGATTACCAATAGATTATTTATCAGTTATATAACAAAAGAATGAATGATCTTTAGTCGGTTGTACAACGAACAGTTGTCTAATGTCAGTCCTTATGCAATATATATACATTGTATGATAAACAAACAAGAAAGATATGCAGATTTCATATGATATTTATTAACTCCGTTTCCATTAGTACACACTAGGATAGGAGCACTCTCAAAGTCTACTTTTGTGAATTACATTGTCTCATTGCCCCTCCTCATCGTCCTGTCCAGATGCATCACTCTCTGCATCAGATATCATGTCTTCATCATCTTCAAGTCTTCCACCCAAGATTTATATTTGTACAGTTTTGAAAACACTTCATGATACATATACTGAACAGCAAAAGAAACGCAAGTTTCGAAAAAAGGAAATCTTATAAAAGTAAGCGTTCATGTTTATGGAACGTTCATGGTAAAGTGAAGTAATGATCCCAGATGAGATCATGTCATGCAGTTTGACATCCACATGAAATATTTGCGCAAGCACACCCACAGTGCAGAAAAACCATAATTGTAGCACGTGCATCGACGGTTCTGGTTGGAAATCATGCATTTCACTCCGAGGTATCCTTTATAAAGGTTTGTGTAAAAAAACAGTTCAGTTTTGATGCAAGGAGGTGTACACGCCACACAAACGACTGAGCAGAGGGGAATGGCCATTGGAAAGTTGCACGGAAGTAGCTCTGCAACCGCTGTATCTAGACAATTGGGCTGTTTTCTTACCACCATTACATGACTTGCTCAACGTCGTCAGCAAACCGGGGCTGCTGCTGATCGTCCCCATACCTGACGGCCACGAGTGACAACTCATGCGCAAGATCGGTTCATCCGGGCCAGGCATCTAAGGAACCGAACTCAAGCAGCAACAGTAACAGCAGCCTTAGTTCATGGGTCAAGGGGAGCAGTGTCCAGTGATACAATTAGGCGTGGTCTTCAGGCTGCTTGAATACACAGCCGGCGGCCATATGTGGGGCCAATTCTGGGACGAAATTGGACGTACGATTGTTGCAGGTAGACAGCCACTCACACTTGCACTGTCGGAACAGAGATTGATGCTTGAGCGGTACCACTTGCCTCAGGCCTTCTTTCCGACTCTAGTTAACTCAATGAGACACCGTTGCATGGCCTGTGTGCAAGCTAAAGGTGGCTTTATGCGCTACTAAAGAGTTTGTCACTTTTTGCGTTCAGGGGTATCTCCATTTGATGGACTGTGATAAATTTCAACTTATTGCAAATCAATGTCAACAACCACTTTCAGCTGTTAAACTGACAGTGTTATCTATACAATAAATGATTAGACATAATTTTGGTTGTCTTCTATTGAAAAAAATGACAAAAGGCTAGACTTGCTATTCTTTTGCTGTTCAGTATATTATTCGTGGCTTGTACTTGCTTCAATATTTCCCGTGTCTTTGGACCAACTTGCATATGATACAGATAAGTAATAAATCGTGCATACGTCTCTTTAAAAGTGATCCATATTGATTTCTTCAGTTTGCATTCTATCATGTCTTCAATTAGACCTCCTGTCATTTACAGCTGTTGTTTTTCATCCAAAAGGTCTTTACTCAGCTCATGCGTACATGAATACATTTGTCTTATTCCTAGCTCTTCGAGATCAGCCATCTTATTTTTCCATTTTTGTAAGACATCTGTGACATCATTTAACGATTCATCATCATCATCATCATCATCATCACCATCATCACCATCATCATCATCATCATCATCATTATCATTTTCCATTTCAGGACATTGTTTATTGTGTAAAAGTCTTTGTAAGTTGTGGTTATAGGTAGACACCTGTCCACAAGACTCTTAATCTGGCAGAGGACGTGGTGTCTTCACATCAGAGAAGTTGTCGTCTTCCTTCCCACTTTCTTTTGAATCCCACTTGGGGTATCCCAGATGGACCACTGAAGACTTTTCGGGACACGAGTTTCTTCTGTGTTTTTGCAAATCGTGCACGTCTTGAAAAATGAGTCCACATTCATCACAAGATGGCATTGTTGGGAGGTTTTCTCACATGTCTGCTCACTCTGAAAGTCTAACTCAGATTAAATTGTCCTGGCTTGGGAGTCTCCTTTTAAACTGAATGCATTGGGACAAAGTCGCAAATGGGGGAGGTATTTGGGGTTTTAGATCAACCAACAAGCCTAGTGGTTAAAGCTTTCGCTCGTCACGCTGAAGACCCGGGTTAAGGTTAATGTCTAGTTAATGATCAAGCTTATCAAAGTAAGTAGGTCACCTGTCAAAAAATTGCTCAACCCTTATGAGTTCCCTTGCACACAAATACAAAATAAATCTTGTTTCTGATCATTTAGACCCTTTGATCATGAATTCAGTGGTTGAGTTGATATAAACCTTCTTCTCTCTAACCGATTATCACGTTTACTGTATAGTTTACATTTTCTTAAGATCTACGGTTTCTCTGTACCATCCATGGATTGTAGAATATTTATCAGCCTACCTACCTGCCTCCAAGAAGGTGTGGCGAAGATACCTGATTGCTCTGCAGAAGATGCCATCCTCGTGCGGCGCTTGGCACGTATTAGTACAGAGGGAAGGCAGGCATCATGCCAGATTCAGTTCTCGCCTCTTTCTGGGCAAGGAAGTGGCCATGGAATCTCCACGTTCACAAGGAAACGACCATTGAAACTCCGCGAAATATGCGGACTAGACTGTCCAGGTCACGATCTGACTTTCATTATTATTTTTCAAACCAACGAATTTTGGAGTTCATTTAAAACCACCAAAACAAGTAATAACATAACAGGAATTATTGACACACAATTTCAGCTTCGAACTCCGTTTCAGTCAATACGTCTTGCTATTGTACCATGCTGTTCTTTGTGTCATTTACTAAATCTGTTTAATAAAGGCACTATTGCATCCTTGTGTATGTCAAATCTAGTTTTAAAGTCCTAACGTCTCGGCTTTAGGTGCCCATGGCATTAGCTCACTTGGCTAGTCAGGTGAGTTAATGAATTTGAAGTAGCAGTCGCTGAACAGATTCAAGAGAGAAGCGAGTGAGGCTGGTTAAGTACTATCACGTCGAGACAAGGTGATGATGATGGAAAACCCGCAGTATTGCAGGGCTTAGACATTTATCACTTCCGTGAATCTTTGGTTTTTGTTTTCTCCCAGGCACACCTAGAAACATAACCTAGGGTTCGAACTATAAGCCAAGATTTTGGGAAACGCAGGGAAGCAATTTGCATGTAAGAGTGAGTGAGTGAATATGTTTTCTGATTGAACCACAAGCGCTGTATATCATAGAGCCACACCGGTTATCAAATTGAACAAGTCGCTGCCAGCAATATGTTTTTATTTGGTGAGTGTTTGTTCAATGATCAACGTTTTCTGGTTCTGTGTACTAAATGTCCAGAAACTACTGTCTATAGGAATTCTTAAGGAAGAGGTACCATTCATTTTATTGCAGAACTACCTTTTTCTTTCAGACAATCGTATTGTAAATAACGGATTTGAAAAGTATTTTACCTACATCAGGTGAACACTATGCTGGCTAAATAATGCATGGGCAATTAATGCAAGTACATTCGATCTGTCGGTCAGATAAATTCGTTGATATATCCCGTTTGTACATGTGTCCTATTAAACGGCGTCGTCGGGTAACCTTGGATACATTTTCAACATAAAACCTTATGTTTTTTTATGAAGTATTACCTGATATTACCTATATACAATACATACTACGCACGTGAGCGAGTATTGTTTTATCCAGCCTTTAGTAAATTCCAGTAATATCATGGAACTGGAAATTGGATTTGGGATGACGTGCGATTGCGCTTTCCTCCAGGTATTCCATCTCCCCTAAGACAGGGAGTGTAAACATTGAATAATGATATTCAGCAGCAGCAAGGCATATTATATTACCCGGTACGTTCACGAATGCTCAGAATTAGTCACAACACTCGACATGTTATCAGAATTCCACGTAATATCAGTAAACTAGTGCATTAAGCAAGAGTGTGAGTTGGGGGGGTTGGGGTGGGGGTTTAACCTCATTTTGGACAGTATTTCAGTTACACAGTTTCCAGTTTGGTTCTCTATTGTGATCATATATTCTTGTGCTTGTGCAGAATGACTCTTTGCCTGTGCATCTGTTTTGAACCCTCAGTCATAGGTTTCTGACGAATTGAGAGAGTATACAGTCGGTTGTGTTGTTGCTTAACGCCGCACTCAGCAATATTCCAGCTATATGGCGGCGGTCTGGATATAAACGAGTCCGGGGCAGACAATCCAGTGATCAACAGCAAGGGCATCAATCTACGCAATTGGGATACGATGACATGTGTCAACCAAGTCAGCGAGTCTGACCACCCGATCCCATTAGTCCCCTCTTACAACAAGCATGGGTTACTGAAGACCAATTCTAAGCCAGATCTTCGCTGGCTGCATTGTATGGAAAACAGGATAGCTTTATTGTATACACGTAACGATCGTTTTCGCGAAAACTAGTTTTGAAAGACCACAAAAAAGCTGGTTAAAAACGTCTTTGTGAAACACGAAATGATGTTTCAGGACATGATGAGTGAAATGGTCATCCGCCTCAAACCAGGAGCCTTAACATCCACATCAATAGGCGCATCATATTTGGTATATGGTGCATATTATTCTAATTTAAATGTTCTTAGTCTGGTCTTGTAGATCATGTTAAACTTTCGCGTGAAAAAATGACTGTAATAGGTAAATGTTACAGGTCGACGATACATAAGCTGTTGAGGCTCATCCCTGTTAATGTGCAGTTTGACCTTCAGACGCAATCGTTTCTGTCATAGCGATGAATATCTCAGTCTTAATTTAACCCAGATGGAACACACACATCCATGTCTCCATTAACACACACATACACACACACATACACACACACTTCCTGTCTCCACGAACGAACACATACACATGTATCACATACACACACACATCACCCGTCTCCAGTATGCAGACATTCACTGCCTTCACGTACCTACTCTTCCTCTGACTACACACACACACACGTCTCTTGTTTACACCTATACGTACTTTACCGTCTATACACACACCCTCCTCTATCAGCACGTATACCTATTTCTGCCATCACCAATTCTCGTTCCCACCCCATTGATTCATGCGGTTCACTGCCACGATCCGTTAGTTGTGATTCGCCTGACTATATTCCGTGGTTTGCGTCACATGATGATCCTATGATCATGCGTTCGCTTCCAACAATCGATCTCAATGTGTTTCCTCCCTTTACCAGTAAACTACCAATGCCTGTGTTTATTTCTCAAATAGAGCATGTGAAAATGCCCACTTACTGGCAAGGAAGAGTTGACCTTCGAAAATGCAATTGTGGATCATGACCTTACGACACCCTCTCGTACGTCGTTGATTGTTGCAATTACTGCCAGTAGTATCCGTTGTATGTGTTTCCTGCTAGAGCCACACCAGTTATTTACTGGGAACATGTCGCTGACGATGTTTGGACGAGTGGTCATCCTTCTATTACAGTGCATATATTTCTTCATACATTTTTATATTTTTCACAAATTATTCATAACATAGGAAATCTGTATAGGTGCAAGTCGCTGTGCATAGTCTGTCTTGTTTTTAGCCCTGCATGGCAAGTGCAGTAGTAGGCAATTAGCAAACGCATCCACGCCAACCTTAAACTAATTAATCAAAGATGAAGCTAGCGAGCTGTGTCGGCTCCGGCCTTTTTTCTCGGGTACATCCCTTGGTCAAGCACAGATAAGTAGTCCCATCCCAGCAGGAGCATGTCTACCACCAACTAAGTCGTAATCGAAAATCAACTTTTGTTGAACAAGATCGAGATTACCATCATGCCATCCTCTTTGTCCTGTCGTAAATGCCACGGTCAAGCGCTGACAGATATTTCGTTAAGCAGCTGGCGCAAGCTGACCGTGGCTACACTATAAAGAAAATCAAACCTTGTTAGGTAATCATCTTCTTACCACCTACCTCGTGTAGTGAACCTTGTCAGCATAGGGTAGATAACGCATATGGAAACTTCAACTTTATAGAAACTTGATAATGACAAACGAGTAGAGCTGTGGGGTATAAAATCCTGGGTTCTTCCATCTCAGGCACACTTGCTTGAATAAACCCTGGATCTCACAGCTCTGGCTCCTTTCTTGTTTCAAGGTAAGAAACATTTAAACTTTAGTCTTGTTTAACTTGTTATTTCTTTGTAATTATCGTCTAGAAAATGTTAGAGTTAGGTTAGAAACATTCCTACAACATTGAAGCACTTTGTCATTGCAAATGCTAGTTCTAGATAACCGATTAATTATTAGGCACTACCCAGGGATATTTATTTATGCACATTGCGTCGTGGGCTCCTCAAGTTTATGATTTTCATGTACAAACGAATATTTCTTTTCTATGTTTCGACACACATGTGTGTATTCCCAGCCTTTGTCTTGTTTTATTCATTTGCGTGTTAGATCTGTATATGCAGGTTATATTCTCGTTCAGTAGCCTAGATTCTAGTAGCTTAGTCAAAAAAACAGTTCCGAGAGTTTATACAATCATTTCCAGCAAAGACGAAGTTTATGTATTTTACTATAGTCCGCCATTACAGTTAGAATGCGTACAGTCAATACCGGAGTTAAATGGTATATGTCAAATCTGAGCACTTCGCGCCGTTTACCGTATTTGCTCAAGGCATTTATGTTGATAACGGAAATTACTTACACAAGTCATAAATCGTTGCCGTAGCTAATGCATTAAGCGCGACATACCGTAATAATAGTAAATTCCTGCCGTAGTCAATACACTAAGCGCGACATACCGTAATAGTCATAAATTCCTACCGTAGTTACTCAAGAAAATGTTGTATTATTTGTATTATGTTTCTGTAAGCAGTTACCGTACATACCCTGTTGTACCACACATTGCTTATATTACCGGACTTAGATATAAACTGTATAAGGATATCATTGATTACTATTTCTATTATTGTATGTCATTATTATGTATGAATTGAGGTATTTTGAATGTCATGCAAACACACTTGCTTGAATAAACCCTGGATCTCACAGCTCTGCCTCCTTTCTTGTTTCAAGGTTTCAAGGCTTGCTCCCTATAGCTAATTCCCCAAATCGAGGCCTGACAGCACCTTTAGCACACCTAGCGCTAAAGGTCGTCCTTCAACGGACACAGACCACAAAGCTGTCTTACTTCTGTATTTGCCAGCAATATGTTTTTCATTTGGTGAGTACTGACCAAATTTCAGATTCTCGTGTTCATTGTCTTCTATGTATGAAATGAATGACCACAATCTGCTGTCAATAGACTTTATATACTCCTTTCAGACAGTTATGTTAATATCAATGACGGCTTTGAAAAGAATCACTTAACATAATGCCAAAGTAAAATTGCGAGGCGTAATAACCTAAAACCTCGTTATTAAAAACAGGTTTCAACTAAATTGCTATATTTCTCTCTGAAGCTCTGTTTCCCAGTGATGGACATGAGACACGCCGACGGCAGAACGAGGAGAGCATGGTAAACATGACAAGTGTTGAAGAAGGTTTTGAAAATGTTTGCTTTGCACAGCTCCGTCCCTGTCTTGATAACATCCGCCCTCTCCATTCCATAGACGGTTTTCAAGGCCTCGTTGTTGATGGGAGGCTCGCTGTACCGTGCCAGTAAGTAAGCTCTCAGTTGTGACTTATCGTTGTGAACGATTATAAAAATAGATTAATCAAGAACAAGTATTTTACCTCTAGTGGTGTTAGACAAAGATGTATGTTGACACCCTTCCTATTTATCCAATTCATCAATGAACTTATAACTAAACTAGAAAGCAGTAGCATCTGTAGCATTTTTTGTAAATGATGGTATTGAACTAATTAACATTTTGCTATTTGCCGACGATGTGCTCTTCTTAGCAGATTGTGAAATATTGCAGGCATATCTTTCCTATAACATGGGTAAGTGTACAGATAAATACGGCACCTTCTATATTAAATGTTGTCTTTAGGCATTTAACAGTGGAAAATATCCCTCTCTCCCTCCCGCCCTCACTCAAACAATCCACCCGTCCACCCACCCGCCAACAGACACACTCACCCACACACTCTCAAGTATTAGTCCACCCCATCCATCCACCCACATACGCAAACGCCCACCCACCCACTCACTCACACTGTATTGGTAATTGTTTGTGGAAGGTCAAACATCAGGGAAGAAAACTGGAATTGTATAGCCTCCGTCAGTCAGTGTAAGGACAACGGCTTGTACAGGGACATACGATACTCTCAGTTGTCGTGGGATTTCCTTTGCCAGAGCAGCCCAGGTATGTCGCATGAAGTTTGATAAACATCATACAACTTGTAATATTGGTACTAATTTCTCTGTAAAGAAAAAGTCTAATACTGAGATTATGCGCCTATAGCTCTAAGGATTCACGTTAACTAGGTGTCAAGGGATATTGAGTATAGAGGGAGAAATTGTGAAATTGTGCTCGCAATGGTTGCGTAACACCCCACCTCACTTTCACGTAAATGGAAACGACACGAAACTGGTTATATGTACTAGTAGGAGATTGACTGGTCAGAAAAATAACATTGTTAACACCTTATAATTCTCATAAAAGTAATTTATGCATTTAGGCATAGGTAATTTTACTTTTAGTTTGATGATGTGGGGATCTCAGCAGATGGTATTCTTAACATATATTCTCACTGGCTATTAACACATTTATCATACCGATTATATGGAAGGAATGTGTGAATATGATAGACACTCGCAAACAGTCCGTCATTTCATCTTCGTCACTTTCAGCATTTGTAGCAGGGAAGGATTGTTGGAAGAGCTCGGAGCTTGAGCCAACGCTCATTAAGTGCTTTGGTCCTTCGAGTAATGTGTGGTAAATAATTTACATTATCTCATACTATTTACCTGTATGCATTGATACACAGAATGATATTGGTATCATTATCACAGAGCACATCACATCACAGAACACATCGTTCAAACACACCTGGGCATTTTGGTTGTTCGCAAAACGCGAGATCGTTTAGCGGTTTAGGATGGTGGAATACAACAAAATTACACAGCTAGAATGGTAATGGGTCTAGAAGACCTGAATTGGAGTTAGACATAATTAGCATGAGATATTTAGATATTTGGGCCTATAACGTGTTAAGCGATTTGAAATCGCCTGAGTAATGTTTGTATTAAATGATGATTCTCAGATACTATTTGAATGCTTTTACCTAACCAAGAGAATCAGTCAGTGTTTAAGTTTGCCACCCCAGTGTTATTCCTTAATCCTTATCATGTACGTTCATGACAGACAGACAGATCATGACAGTTGATCAGAACTGATACAAACATACTCAGACGAATTACGTGGGTCGATCAAAAATTGCGTAGATTAACTGTATTCTCGATGTCCAATGTTTGAAAAGCTTCCATGTTATTTTGAAGGAATCTTTAGCAAAGTCATATCCAAAATTTCACATATGTGGGTAATGTGGTTAACGAAATATTAGTCATCACAACACACCCGGGTAGAACATTTCTAACAAAGCTGCAGGAAATGAAAAACGATCTGTCATTTGGTACCTCTTGGATAATGGTATGCCCTCAGTGTATATCATATAAAATATGTTCAGTGTAGTATTTGATGACTTCCCGTCATAATCAACAGTCAAAGACTTGGATTGCTTGATTTGTATTTAGTCGAGGGCTGTTTTTTTAAGGACACCCCCATTTCAATCTTCCTAAAACATTGTGTCCAGATATTCAAGCTGGTTCTGTTTACAATATATTGTGAGCTGACATTCAGTGTTTAGTATGAACTCTTGGCATCATGTATGGATAAGTGAAAACATTAGAATAAGTTATGTCCTTATGATTACGTCATCTGAAAGGGGGTGGGTAGTGTCTCCAAAAGCTCTTTCAGTCAAAATGAAGGGTGGGTCACTTTAAAAAGCGTTTGTAATTTCAATTTGCTTTTTTATGAACTTTAAGGGTGATTCTAGGGGACTTCTATCAATCTCAAACACACCAAATATTTCTTGCATATTTTGTTTAATGATGTTTTTCATGCATTTATTGTAGAGTTTGCGTTTTTTGAGGAACCAAGATAAAAGGTCAAACAAAATGGGGATCATGAGACTGGAACATAGCAAAAACAAATTGCTTGAGTTTGACAGATTATATGTAGGAAAAAACCCTTAAAAATAACTGCTTTATATCGTTTTCTTGGTGATTCTACATACTTCTTGATCGCCCCTTGTAAATCCCTAAAACCCTTGGTGCGAAAATTGATCTTCACGGACCATACGAGACTCACGTATAGGATGATATTGGCATTAATTTGGTTTGAATGGCATGCCGGAAAACGCTTCTGATTCTATTCCAGCCTGAAGTTGGTCATTAGGAAATTAGTCGATTCAGAAGTCGATTGTTGTAGAATATTATTTGTTACTATGTTTTTAATGTGTTATTTACACGACTTACCAAAACATTTAGACTTTCAAACGTTTTATGGAGAACATATTTTGAAATGACGAAAACGTTGACGGGTTTCGTTCCAAGGTCCTGTGGAAAACCGCTATGAGTTCCCTAGCACACATATGCAAACAATCTTGTTTCTGATCATTTAGACCCTTTGATCATGAATTCAGTGGTTTAGTATGGATTTGGGAAAGTAGGAGAGTTTAACAACATGCACATTTACTCCCTGTGACATGAATCGAAGAAATGCAGCTCCAAAATATCGTATTATGGAACCGATCAGTATCTAAGACTTGAACAATCTACGGATGATCTTCGCGATCTGTTCTATCATTTCGACATGATTCTGCAAATTATAATATGATCAGTGTCTCTCTCACCGCTTATCACGTTTACTATATTGATTACTATATCCTTTTGGTTAACATTTTCTTAAGATCTACGGGGTTTCTTTCTTTCTCTCTCTCAGCGAACCAACCTGCCTCCAAGAACGTGCGGCGAAGATACCTGGCTGCTCAACAGAAGACGCCACCCTCTTGCGGCGCCTGGCACGTATTAGTATGGAGGGAAGACATGCAACATGCTAGATTCAATTCTGTGCAGGCGAGTGGCCAGGGAATCTTCATCTTCACAAGGGACCAACCAGGAAATCAACTCCATTGGACATCCTTGTAAAAAAACTATAAAAGACTATAAATGTGACGATCGGACTTTATACATTAATATTTCTCAAATAACATATTTTTATGAATTTTGTGGTTCGTTTGAAAAAAACCACGAGTAATAACATAACAGGAATTATTAACCATAAAAGACAAAATTACAAATGCTTAGATATCCTATAGGAATTACGCTCTACACACATACAGCCTCCAGCTCCGTTTCTGTCAATGCGTCTTGCTATTGTACCCTGCTGTTCTTGGTGTCTTTTACTAAATTTGTTTAATGAAGGCACTCTTACATCCTTGTGTATGTCAAATCTAGAAACGAGTGAGTCTGGTTAAGTACTATCACGACGAGACTGCATGATGATAATGGAAAGCTTGAAGTAATGCAGGTCTTAGATATTTATCACTTCCGTGAATCTTTGGTTGTGATTTTGTCAAAGGCAAACCTAGAAACATATCCTCGGGTTCGTACTGTGATCCTAGATTTGGGGAAACGCACGTATGAGTTATTGAGCGAACATTTTTCTAATTGAACCAAATGATGTTGTCGATATGTGTCGAACCTCGCTTTTTCGATCAGTGACATATTCTCAAATTTATCCACACACACAAATGTCCCCATGTCTTAATTCCTTGTCAACTGAGGTGAGGTGAAATTGGGTTTAACGTCGTGCTTAGAATATTTCGTTCATTTGACGACGTGCATGCGTGTATGTGTATGTGCGGCTGCTTGTACTAGCCCAGACTGAAGCAGGTTTTATAGTGCTAGCCCACTGAGATACCATGCCGCAGTGAAGCATGAATACCCCACTCAGACACATTATACTGACTCCGAGCCGACGAGTCCTTGTTGTACCCATTAATGCCGAGCGCCAGGCAGAGACCAACAAGTACCATATTTTAACGTCTTTGTGTATGACGCGGTCGGGGATCGAACCCGCGACCTTCCGCTCTCCGGGCGGACGCTCTAACCACTACACCACGGAGGCGGTACCCTTGTCAACTGAACAGAGATACTTCCCTTACTCAGGTTCTACGGATTTGAAAACGTATACGTTACTCAAGTTTTAGAATGAGCAATGAAATACCTGCATCCCACCCCTACAGCGATATCCGCATGGATGAGGCACTTTATGTTGCTTATTATTTTTTCACATAAATATCCTCTTGTAAAGTTTTTTTAAAGGCATTTAGAAATTGGATGAATATGAATACATGACACATCTGATGGATAACAACTTCAAATTATTCTTTATACTTGATGAAATAGCAGGAATTAGCTCTGAAACGTCGTATAAAGAATAAAAGAAACTATTATCTGTAAAACGTGCCATGTATTCACATCCTCTGGCAGACAAAGTTTTAGGATATGTGGCGCCCGAATAACAGGGTTCCTTCGTACTGTGAAAATAATCAAGGTATTCAAGGTCAGTGGAGTTACTTATACCAGCAGGATCAATCAGGTTTGAAAATACAAGAGCACTACTGAATTTTCACAGAAACCTATCACCTCTCTTTTTATAGACAGGAGACGTGAGAACCCATCAAACCCCGGTTTCCTCAGACAAGCTCAGTACGAAGAACAAAAGTTAAGAATGGGTTAAATGTGTACTCATCTCAGTGAGGTCGATCAACGTTTCGACTTCAGTAAGGGGACATTCCTCACAAAAATGTAGAGTGGCTGACATATATTAAGTTTACTCTCGTATATTGGCTTCTGACAACCGCAATGTATCCCACAGCAGTACGGGTTGCAAATAAGAGCCACAAAAAACGTTCTCAAGGCCATAAATCGTGTCCTGTGTACGTGTGTTTTGTACAACAATATAGATGACACCAGGTGTTTTGTATGGAACATCATATCCCGTTTATACGTAACGCCCATAAGATACCTAAGCAAAGACCAATGGGAAATTGCATTGAACAGGAATATGCTCAAAATTCATAATACTTTAAAATACTTATTAATGTCTCAGCTGAACACATTTGTTAACATTCAAATATGTAAAATTTTCGTCAGTAGTGTACCCACTTGCATCAGAGGTGTGGCAATGGTGCTCGATCTCTGATTTAAAGATATTTTATTCATTGAAGAAAAGGATTGGGCACAAGTTATTCCAACTTAATGACGCCCTCTCCCAAGAACTTTGTTGTTTCGACTGAATCATTGAGCAAAGCGTATCGCATGTATGAGTGAGTGAGTGAATACTGTTCTAACTGAACCAGACGAATCTGTAGATATCAATACAATTTAATGTGTAGAATTTGTCGAATCCGCATACTTCGGTCACTTACACCCTTTCATCTGACCACAGTTACAACCTTTAACTCACAATCTTGTTTTTATCACCCTTTAGATAATGCATAAGGTTTAGAATGAGCAATGACAAAACTGTAGTGTATCCCTACACGGAAAATAATCCGGATAAAGGAAGAAATTTGTTCATTATATGTTTCTCTTCACGCAAATACGTTTAAATTGTGTTTGTTTACTTGTACCAACTGAATCACTCCGGTTTGAATTCGCCTTTGGATTACTGGATCATCTCTGAAAAATATGACATTCTTTATTTAAACACAAAAAAACGTGCTCTGAAAAGCAAGCATTGTAATACGAAACGTCTACCATGAATCGTTTCGAACGTTTTACTGTGGTCTTCAGTGTTATTACACTGGTCTTCACTGTGATCACCAATCAACGTCATCAAATCATGGATACCTCAACTCAACTTGACGTTCAACTCAGGTGTCCTGATTTTACCAGTCTGAGCAAGTCTGAGAAAAGCATCAATAACAATGGTGAATGTGAAGCCAATAATAATTTCTGGTAAAATATACTTTTACGTAACCCTTTATTTCAACATGAATTCTGAAATGCAATATTAAAAGCCAAAACAAGCGAGTCCTGCAGATGTGATGTGTGTTTAGACACAGGGTGTGCTATAGCTACAACACATTCTCTTGCTCGATATCATAAGGAAAGGTTGTCATGAGTTGAAAAGTGTAATTTAATTAATCAAATCAAAACCAGATACAGATACTAGCCAGGTAAGCTGCATTGAAACACAATTCCCAAAGAACTCAGCAATGTGACATTTGACTCCAAACTTCAAATGCTGGGGTTAACACTGACATCAGTACGAACTGAACTAAAACTTATGAGCGAATAATCATAAGAGGCCAGTGAATAAAAGACAAATGTCATTGAAATAAACACAGGATTTTGTGTGCAACCATAAAAGACATATTCTACGAAATATTTGACAATATCATTGGTCGGTGTGTTCACGAATGTCCAGAATTAGTCAGTCACAGCACTCGACATGCCATCAGAATACCAGTATAAAAACAGTACATTTAGCAAGAGCGTGAGTTGGGGAGTCGGGTTAGCCTTATTTTGGACAGCATTTCAGTTGTAGCCAAATGGTTTCCAATGTGGTTGTCTATTTTGAAGGGCGGTGGGGTAGTCTAGTGGTTAAAGCGTTGGCTCGTCACGCCGAAGACCCGGGTTCGAATCCCCACATGGGTACAATGAGTGAAGCCCATTTCTGGTGTCCCCCGCCGTGATATTGCTGGAATATTGCTAAAAGCGGCGTAAAACCAAACTCAGTCAGTCTATTTTGACCAAATATTCTTGTGCTTGTACAGTTGAATCCTTGACCTGAGTGAGTGAGTTAAGTTTTACGCCGTACTCAGCAATATCCCAGCTATATGGCGGTCCTTGACCTGACTGTGCATCTGTTTGGAACCCTCAGTTATAAGTTTCTGACTGAAGAAGGGACGCATCTCTGCACAGATACAGATTGTGCCCATCAGTGCAAGAGAATACAAAAGACAATACCCATGGCCAAGTTATGGCGATGGTAAATATCTGGAAACTTATGCTTTTGTTACAGCTGCTGAACTGATGGCAAGCAAGTATGTGATCAGCAACTTGGCAAGGTCTCACTTACTGATCGGCTAATTCAATTAGGATAACACAAACAATATCCAACCGAATCTTTGACGATTGCAAATATAAGTCAAATAAGACATTAGAATTCATCATAATTTACTGTTTCTCAAAGGTAGATCAAAATACCGAATGCAGGTAAAGTTTGATGTCGTGTATGCAGCAAAAGATAAATGATCACTGTAAACTTAAACATCAGAAGCTTCTTTCAAACTTTTATTTGAATAATAATTTATAGTGATATTTTCCACGGATGATGGCTAGAATTTGGGAATAAGAAATATATTCACCTCATCTGAAGTTCGAATTTTATTTTTATGTTGTTATTTCACTTCTGTCGTGACATGCAAAATCAGTTATGGATATTGTAGCGCGTTTATCCAGATAATGGGATAATTTTGGCTAATAGGGGGCACGTAATGGTTTTCTGCGTTACAACTTTGTCTATTTTCATTTTAAAATTATTAGTGATGTGTGAACCATACTAACAATGTGGATCTTTTTAACCTGACAGATTATAAGAAAATATTTGTTGAAAACAGGAAACTACCCTACATTTACTTTATTGGTGGATAATATATAGCTTGATTTCTACCTAAATCGATTCCGGATGTCGGGATAATAACTGTTGAAAATAAGGTAATGGGGATAATCATACAATAACTGATTGTATCTGGTACGTCCACAGTTGTTTCCAGGATGTAAGTTTGCCGTCATTGTTACATTTGTTGTATATGACCTGTTTCTGAATGCATTGTGTACTGATAACGTTTGGCCATGGGAGACGTGTTGGGTTACACTTATCGTAGGGGTACCCAAAGTGATCTAGAATGCATGTTTGATGTAAGCAACGATGGTTAAGTGGGTTAAATGGGTGACTGTCTGTGTCAAAGTGTGAGTTCGAATCCCTGGTACGTCCCTACCAAAACCCGCTCTATTTGCACCCTACAAATTTACTTCAGCATCGTTTGATAATTTTCCAATCAGGCATTGCGTATTCGTTATTTCAGAGGGA